TCAGGGTAAAAGAGGAGAGCGCAAAAGTGGGCTTGAAGCTCAACATCAAAAAAACTAAGATCATGGCATCCGGCCCCATCACTCCTTGGCAAATAGAAGGAGAAGTTGTGGAAGCAGTGACAGACTTCACGTTCCTGGGATCCAAAATAACTGCAGATGGTGATTGCAGCCATGAAATTAAAGACGCCTGCTCTTTGGGAGGACAGCGATGGCAAACCTAGACAGCATAATAAAAAGTAAAGATCATCACCCTGCCAACAAAAGTCCGTATGGTCAAAGCAATGGTGTTCCCAGTAGTCATGTATGGCTGTGAGAGTTGGACTGTAAGGAAGGCCGAGCGCCAAAGAATAGATGATTTTGAACTATGGTGCTAGAGAAGACTCTTGAGAGTCCCCTGGACTGCAAGAAGATCAAATCAGTCAATCCTAAAAGAAATCAACCCTGACTGTTCCCTGGAAGGCCAGATAATGAAACTGAAGCTCAAATACTTTGGCCACCAAATGAGAAGGGAGCACTCACTGGAGAAGACCCTGATGCTGGGAAAGATTGAAGATCAAAGAAGACGGGGACGGCAAAAGATGAGATGGTTAGACAGTGTCATAGATGCAATGAACATGAAATTGACCAAACTTCAGAGGACAGTGGAAGACAGGAAGGCCTGGCGTGATCTGGTCCATGGGGCCGCGAAGAGTTGGACTCGACTGTTCGATTGAACAACAACAATCCATCTTGCATAACTTTGGGGTTGCCATCTTTATTCTTCTGTTGCAATCTGGTGACCACTTGAGATGGAATAGTCTTGAATTTTCCCTTTTTAGGTCTTTTTCTTAATCCAGTAGAACCTGATGCGCCTTGTTCTTGGGTTTCTTCTTCGTCCGTCTCCTTTGCCTCTTCCTCTTGAATCCCTAAATTCTTTCCATATGTCTTGAGAAAATCTTCTATTTTAAAAATTGAATTTATTCTATGTCTTTTGCCATCATAGGTAAAAAGTATACCTTCAGGAAGTAGCCATCTATAAGAGACCCCATTTTCCCTTAAAAGACTTGCCAGGCATGTATAGTCTTTTCTTTTTTTCTCTCACCCTCCATGGCACTTCTTTTAGTATTCTAATTTCTTTTTCTTCTATTTGGAGGGGTGTTTCATTTGAAATTTTCAAGATCTTATCTCTCATTGATCTCTTATAAAATTTGACGTGGATTTCTCTTGGTAGTTTATTTTTTCTCACATATGCAGAGTTCATTCTGAAGGCCATCTCAATCCCATCTTATGTTTCTGCTACTGTTTCTGTTTTCATGTAGTCTGCTAAAATTTGTGCCATATCTGATTTACTATCTTCACCTTTCTTTTCTGGAAAGTTCTGGAATATTAAAATATAGGCCGGTTTTTCAATCTCCAGCTTTATTATTTTATCTTCCATAGAGTAGAAAAGATTTTGGTTCCTGCCTTTCTCTGATAGGATGATGGGAATCACCCAAGATGTCCTCCTTTCCTCAGAGTAGAAGGACCCCTCACAGTAAGTGCCAAGGGTCGTTTTGGAACACTTTGTGTGAAAGACACTATCTAAACTTAGATAAATCTGACTCATACATTGAACTATCCAAATTTGCTTGGAACACCCCATCTCATCAGTGGTTCTTGATCAATAAAAGTGGGTGCTACTGACTCATTGGCTTTTTATCTAACTGTAATGTGAACATGGAGTGAGAGGAGCATGTTGGAGGAGGGAAGCAGTGTGTTCCTTGGAGACGCATTTTGTACAGAGGACCTGCACTACAGTAGCCTCTTAAAATGGTTCGGCACAGGAATTCTCCAAAACAAAAACCATTTAGATATTTATGAAAGTAGGATCCAGACCACTGGTGTATAGGGTATGAACTTTCACGAGTCACTGCTAATTTCTTCAGAGTATCTGGATTGAGGCATCTGGATTGGGGCAGTTTACTGTAATGCCCTTTACATGGGACTGCCCCTGTCACAAATCCGGAAGCTGCAGCTGATGCCAAATGCCACGGCCAGGCTGTTGATGAGACTCTCAATTCGGGAGCACATCCAGCCTGTGCTAAAGGCACTGCACTGGCTGCCTATAGCATACCGGATTCACTCTAAGGTGCTGGTTCTCACCTTTAAAGTCCTATATGGCCAGGGTCTGACATACCTGTGGGATCGTCTTTCCCCATATATGCCACGGAGAGCACTGTGATCAGGGACCCAGAACTGACTGGCTCTCCCGAATATCAAGGAGGCCAGGTTGATGACAACCAGGGCCAGGGCCTTTTCGGTGGCGGCTCCACTCTGAAGATCAGGGCCCTGCGGGACCTTTTACAGTTCCTTAGGGCCTGCAAAATGGAGGTCTTTCACCAGGCCTTTGGAGCCGCCACCACCACTACTACCAGCACAGTTACCGGCCCTACTATTAATAACATTTGGCAACCATGGTGGAAGCCCTGATCCATTGGCCCCTGTGACGACTGCCCGACCTAGCCTCTCCTAACTGAAGCAGACCAATAGAACTAAAGTAAAAACTGCAGAATTGCTAGCACTTTAATTTTATGTCTGATTTTAACTATGTTTTATATTATTGTATTTATCTACTAGGAATTGTATTAAGTAATGAACTGTTTTTTATGTACTATTAGAACTTTTATTCTGTTGTGAGCCGCCTTGAGCCGGCCTAGGCCAGGAGGGCGGGATAAAAATCAATAAAATAAATAAAACAAATAAATTAAACAAACAATTTTTGATACCATCTATCATGGTAACTTTCTGGACTGCCTATCAGGATTGAAACTGGAAGGCACTGTTTTGCAGTGGTTTCAGTCTCACCTCCAAGGTACGTTTCAGAGCATGTTGTGGGGGGGGGGACTACTGCTTGGCCCCTTGGCTTCTGGCCTGTTGGGTCCCACAAGGTTCTATTTTGTCCCTTGTGATTTTTAACATCTATATAAAGCCACTGGAAGAGGTCATCTGAAGATTTGGGCTGAGCTGCCACCAATCTCTGGATGGCAGTCTGTGTCTCATGCTTCCTGCAGATGCTAGGAAGGCTGTGTGAATTGCAAACAGGTGTCTGCAGGCAGTTTTGGGACAGATGAGGGCTAACTTGCTGAAACTTAATCCTGATCAACTGGAGCTGCTACTGATGGAGAGGAGGTCTGACCCAGGAACGGGGATATCTCCTGTTCTGGATGAGGTCGCACTCCCCCTTAAGGAGAAGATTTGAAGCTTGGAGGTGTTGATGGACCCAGGCCTCCTGTTGGATAAACAAGTAGCAGGTGGTGGCCAGGGGCACCTTTCTGGAGCTTTAACTGGTGAGCTAACTGTGACCCTTCCTGGTAGTACATAGGTTGTATTGCTGCAGTTTGTTCTACATCCTGCCCTTGAAGATTGTCCAGAACTTACAGCACATACAGGATGCTGCAGCCAGAACAATGACTGGAGTGGATCATAGGGATTATATCACTCCAGTTTAGGTCCATCTACATTGGCTCCCAATTTGCTTCCAGGTTCAGCTTAAGCTGCTAGTATTGACCTTTAAAGCGCTATATGGCTTTGGGCAAGTATACCCTAACCCAGGGGTCATTTCGTAGAAAAAGAGCTAGGGGAACTCATTAGCATAACTCATTAGCATATGCCACACCCCCTGACATCAGGGGCCCGGCGGTGGACCTGCAAGTCCAGCGGGAGTGCGAGGAAGCCTCGCCAAGGTCCTCCCTGGCCCCAGGCAGGCAGGGGTGGGGAGAGGCGGGGGGGGAAGCAACTTATCCTCCCTCTTCTCCTGCTTCCTCCTGGCTGAATAAGGGCTGTGTTCCCCCGCGTTCCCCCCCGAAATGACCTCTGTCCTAGCCCATATGAATCTACCCAACCACATCGGTCATCTTCGAAGGTCCTGCTTCAGATGTCACCCCACCTGAGGCTAGAGAGATGACAAACCAAAACGCTAGAACTCCCTTCCCAGGGAGATTTGTCTGTCTCCCTCTAATGTTGTTTTCCACCAGTGGGTGAAGACTTTTTTGTTTTGTTTTATGGTCCTTTGCAAACTCTTATTAGCCCTCCCTCGTTTGTCTGTTTTACGTGTTTATATTTTTATGCATATATATTATGTTTTATCTAACTGTTTCAACATCTGAAATGTTTTAATGCTTTGTTTTTAAAGTTTTAATGTTTGTCATGTTGGGGCCCTTAAATTACATGGAAAGGTGGCATAGAAATCTTTTTTTTAAATAATGTCAACTGAGAGCAGGTTGCAGAGCCTGAGATGTCGCATTTGGTGCCTTGCATTATCTGGAAAGTCTTGGTTTATAGTAAACCCTTCTGTCATTATCAGTATCTTTTAATTTGGCATGATCTAGTGCTTGAAAGGTCATATGCATGGCTCTTGAGTGAGCATATGCTACATCCTGGGTGACAACCTGAGCTATATGTGTCATAGGCAGCAAGGATTTGATAAGAGGACCCTTGTCCCCATGGCATAGGGTGAGGTATCCACATTTTGACTTGGCTCTCCTGTGCTATGCTGCTGCCTACTGTCTGGCTTAATAGGATACGAGAGGAAAGCCACACTGGCACGGAGGCTATAGGTCATGCTAAATTGGCAGCATCTAATAATTTGAACATGATTTGTGGTACACTTTCCAAAAAGGTTGACCATAACTGTACTACAGAGACTTTTAGCCTGTTTGAGTAATACACACTATTTTCTCCTGACTGAGGAGCAAACTGCAGAATTTTTTTCTGCTGTTGTGTGCAGTTTAGGTAATTTTAAAAAACAGTTTGGTTTAGGGGTGGGGGTTTTTTCTGTTGCAAAAAGGTACAATGACAAAACTTCCTGAGAGAGGCTATTTTAACAATTTTTCTTCTTTTTACACTACAACTTAAATCTGCTCATACAAACTTATTTGTTGTTTGCTTTAGTCCCTGCAATCTTTTGCTGATCTTCCTTGTTACTATGTGAAAAAAATGTGAAATGGATTAACTTTTCTGACACTTATTTCCTTTCTATACAGATAATCTGATCAAAGCCATCCTGTCAGTAACCAAAGATTACCGTCTTACTCCAGCCCTTGACAGGTGAGTGGATACTTGTGGGAGGCTGTGGTAGTTGCTAGGCAAGGCTAGCCTACCTACATACTCTTTGTGATTGCTCTGAAATACAGGTAGCAATGGTGCTCCTTTTCCAGTCCATGTTGTTGTTCAGTCGCACAGTCGAGTCCGGCTCTTTGCGACCCGATGGATCACGCCAGGGCTTCCTGTCTTCCGCCGTCCTCTGATGTTTGCTCAATTTCATGTTCATTTCATCTATGACACTGTCTAACCATCTCATCCTTTGCCGTCCCCGTCTTCTTTGACCTTCAATCTTTCCCAGCATCAGGGTCTTCTCCAGTGAGTGCTCCCTTCTCATTTGGTGGCCAAAGTATTTGAGCTTCAGTTTCATTATCTGGCCTTCCAGGGAACAGTCAGAGTTGATTTCTTTTAGGATTGACTGATTTGATCTTCTTGTAGTCCAGGGGACTCTCAAGAGTCTTCTCCAGCACCATAGTTCAAAAGAATCTTTTCTTCGGTGCTCGGCCTTCCTTATAGTCCAACTCCCACAGCCATACATGACTACTGGGAATACCATTGCTTTGACCATGCAGACTTTTGTTGGCAGGGTAATGTCTCTACCTTTTATCATGCTGTTTAGGTTCGCCATCGCTTTCCTCCCAAGGAGCAGGTGTCTTTTAATTTAATGGCTGCTGTCACAGTCTGCGGTGATCTGGGATCCTAGGAACGTGAAGTCTGTCACTACTTCCACGACTTTCCCTTCTATTTGCCAAGGAGTGATGGGGCCGGATGCCATGATCTTAGTTTTTTTGATGTTGAGCTTCAAGCCCACTTTTGCGCTCTCCTCTTTTACCCTGAGCAAGAGGCTCTTTAGGTCCTCTTCACTTTCTGCCATTAGAGTGGTATCGTCTGCATATCTGAGGTGGTTGATCTTTTCCCCAGCAATCTTAATTCCGGTTTGTGATTCATCCAGGCCAGCATTTAGCATGATGTACTCTGCATATATATTAAATAAGCAAGGTGACAATATACATCCTTGTCGTACTCCTTTTCCTATGCTAAACCAATCAGTTGTTCCATATCCGCTTCTAACTGTCGCTTCTGGACCCTTATACAGGTTTCTCAAGAGACATGTGAGGTGGTCTGGTACTCCCATCTCTTTAAGGACCTGCCATAGTTTGTTGTGCTCCACACAGTCAAAGGCTTTAGCATAGTCAATGAAGCAGAAGTAGATATTTTTCTGGTACTCTCTTGCTTTCTCCATAATCCAGCGAATGTTGGCAATTTGATCTGTAGTTCCTCTACCTCTTCAAAATCCAGCTTGTACTTCTGGCTGTTCCAGTCTATAGTAGCTATGAAATAGTTTTTGGCAATTTCAGAGGTTTTTATTTTGTGGTGATATTACAATCTGCTCAATTGCTTGCTTTTCAAAATAAGTGACTGATTATCTTTCACCAAATGCATTTACTCATCACTCCCCCCCCCCAAAGTGTGTTGGTAAGACAACAACATTTTCCATTGTTATTCTGGCAAAATAAATTTCAGTTTGTTTTGACATCTAGATCTCACTGACAGCCTGTCTCCTAAACATAGAGGTTTTTAAAATAGCTTTGGGCAGTAGAGTTGATGACAAAATTGATATGGGTAATTGTTCCAGACCCTAGTAGAATTGAGCTGATGATGAACATATTGCATGTAATATACATAGTTATACCTATGTATACATGGTTATGTGCATTTACAGCTATTTCTTCTCTTAATAAATTGGTTCCCATTTTGTGATTTTGGGCAGGTCTTGAAATGCACAGAGGTTCTTACTGTCCCATGATTTTTTATTTGCTTCCATCTCTTTCACTAAGCCCTCTACTTTTTCCAAGTTTACTGCCAGCTTGCTTATGAGCATCAAATTTTATAGCTAATATAATGGACTTTAAGTGCTTCACTCAAAAGAATCCAAAATCTGAATTCAGACAACATGGAAATAATTTTCTTTCATGGCAAAATATGGGGATATTTAGCAGAAATGGGGCTAACAGAAGAGGCAGATGTAAGAGGCTAAAGAAATGTATATGGAAGTGAAGAATCAGCAATGCAATCCTAAGCAGTGTCTCACCCTGCTAAGTCAATTAAAGTCAATGAGTTTAGAAGAATTCTACAGGATTGGGAGGATTTGGTCAGTGTACAGGGAAATTTAAAGAACAGAGTAGTTTCTCCCCAGCCACTGGAATCTGGCAGTTTAACTGTTGTGTTAGTTTTTCCCAGATGTGTGATTTAGGTAAGTCACTGTCATTCAGTTTCCATTTTCCTCATCTCACGATAAGAATAATGATCCATTTTTACAGGCTGACTTTTTGAATTAGTAGAAGTGTCATTGAAATTATCTGACTATACTACAATCTCTGGTTGAAACAGGATGCCTTTTTCTTGTTCTTGGTCCAAAATTTCAATCAGCGTCTTCTTATCTGTCCAGGAGTATTTCCAAGCGACAGCTTTATGCCGCTTTACCTTATTTACAGGCAGCTTACTATTAAGTTGTATTCTCAGAACTGGCTGGAATACTTCTTTATTAAGCCACCTTACATGGTTTTTTCCACACCTCCTGCTATTCATAGTATTCCAAGGTATTCCCACTCTCCCATTCTGATTACTGTTGGAGCAACTTAATAAAGGTACAAATTGCCCAGTATTTGGAATGTCATTTCCAAAACGATTCCTTCTGTAAGATTGGTTCAAATATTGGAACAGTGAGTGGACAGAAGTGAGGGGAAGGTGGATTTAAGGGAATGGCTCATGTTTTATATAGACAACTTTTTCTCATCCTGGCTTTTCTTCCAGCCTCTGTAATCAATTACCAAGTGAAACTCTGGAGGCTGCACTTTTATTTTGAGTTAGCTCTGTAACTGAATCTCTCTTTTTCTGTCTAGTTATATGAGAGAGATCCATGTAGTACCCATTTAAAAATAAAATTATTTAGAATGTCTTGTTGGAAATTATGGTTATTTTACTGTGCTATTAGAATGTCAACAATGTATCAGTATTTCTGATTTCTACTCAAGCCTATTTGGGAGATTTGTACACTGTTCCAGTCTGGTGGTAACATCTAACTAAGTCTCCTGTTGAAAAGTTCTCCGTATAGTAATTAATGTTTCTCTTGTATGTATCAGAACTCATAGGAATTCTGGTTTTCTATTATTCAAGCTCCTGATCTAACTGGGAATACAGGCAGAAAAATATTACTCAGTATATATTTGACTCTTCAGATTAATTGAAAGAGTGCAAATGTAGATTTATAGAATTGACAGCTATTTTGGAAGAGTCTATATAGCAGGGGTGGCGAACACGCGGCTCTCGAGCCGCATGCGGCTCCCGGCCAAAATGCATGCGGCTCCGGGGCCTTCCTCGGCTTCTCCCCAGCCTCGGTGTGGCGGCGAAAGAAGAAAGGACTCGCAAGGGGGCTTCTTCCCCCCCCTTCCTCCCCTCGTTTCTTTCTTTCCTTCAAGGTGGGGGGGGAGTCTATGGAGGGGGAGAAGCGACCGGGCCCGGAAAGGGGGGCGGCGTGTGTGCTGCGTCGTCGTCAGTCGCTCCCCATTCGCACGCGCGCCCTCCCCCGTGCCATGAATGGCTCTTTTTTCCTATTAAGAAACAAGGCGCGCGCCGGGGAGGCTCTGGGCCACTGGCTGGCGCCGAGGAAGGAGCCCGGGCAAGAGCGAGCCGAGCTCCCTGCCAGCGATATCCACGCCCGAGCCGAGCTGGGCGAGAGAGGAGGGGGC